GACCCCGCGGAGCCGGGGCTCCGGGAGGGAGCGGGGCACGGTGGCAGCGCTGGCCCGCGGGCGGTGGGGAGGCGGGAGCCGAGATTGACGAGGGGAAAGCCTCGTGTTTCCGGGGGACAGATAGCACCGGATCGGTTCGAACTTGTCCCCGAGTTTCCCCAGCTGCTCTCGGAGCTTGTGGCGAGGAGAGCAGAGTAAACAGCGCAAACTGAGCTTACTGCCCTTTGGAGTTTAAAGCTTTGATTTGGGGCTTCAGGCGGGTTTGGTTTGGTTTGTTTCTAAATGGTTGCGTGAGCAGTGTATGAGTTTTAATTAGCTGGATGTACGGAGTGTTTGGTCACCTGATGCACCTTTCCTTGCAGCTGCAGCATGGCAGAAGCCTCCGTCTCTCCGCTGAAGCATTTTGTGCTGGCCAAAAAGACCATCACTGCCATCTTCGACCAGCTGCTGGAGTACGTCACTGAGGGAGCAGCGTTTGTGGAAGGTGAGCTTTCCCCTCAAACATGAGGGCCTTGTCCTTTGTTCTGAGTACGTTTTACAGCACCATCATGTACCTTAAGTTATCTGTTACTGTGCTGTTTGTATAAACATGCACCTTCAGAAATAATCACATTTTTCATTTGACACTGGGGTTTTTCTCAGCTTGTGCTGGAAGGAATGTCTGGCATTGCTACATAGCTGAAAAGCTGATTAACTCACTTGAATTGGCAGTCTGGTCCCCTTTCCATGAGGGTGAAAGCTTAACCACTCTGGAGTGACAGTTCTGTGGCGGTTTCTTTTGCATAGAAGGAGGGACAAACATCTTTCAGCAGAAAGGTGCATCCATGATGCAATGCAGGGAACCACTGGGCACACCCTCAGAGGTTTTAGCAGCATGGAATTTTGTGACTACACAGAGTTGGTTGCTTATTATCCCAGTGAGCTCTGCAGGAGCAAGACAGCCCAGCTCAGCTGGTGTATCCATGGGAGGTCCTGGCTTTCCCTTCTGAAGGAAGCAAGTATCCCAAGGAACTGGGCAAGTGAGCCCATCAGGCTGTGTTCACAGGGTTAGTGGTTCCGTGGTTGGGCTGGTGATTGATCTGAAGTGATTTATGTCATGATTTCACCAGTGCCTGTGGCAGAGTCAAATGATAAGGGCTGTTTTTTCTTGTTTTGTTTAATTGCTGTAATTAAAATTTGTAGTTGGCATCTTAAGTACTGATTACTTACACTTTCTATCACAGAACACATTCTCTGTATGTGATTGCTTTTATGTTTTTTCTTTCTCTGTGTAGCCACATATAAGAACCCAGAACTTGATCATATAGCAACAGAAGATGAACTTGCAAAAATACAAGCATATAAAAACAAGTTGGCAGTCATTGGAGAGGTGCTCTCACGGAGACACATGAAAGTGGCATTTTTTGGCAGGTAATGAACAAAATTACTAGTATTTAATTTCTTTTTTTTTTTTTTTTTTTTTTTTTTTTTTTTTTTTTTATTATTTTTTTTTTTTTTTTTTTTTTTATTGGTTTTTGGGTGTTTTTTAAGGTGGTGGTTTTGTTTGTTTAATGTATTTTTTTTTGTTGTGGACTGTTCCTGCTTAGGATTTTTTATTTATTTGATCAGAAGTGCTGAAGAACTAAACTTGGAGCTGTTCATGTTTCTGTCTATAAGCAGCGGAAGAGAAACGGAGATGGTTACCTGGTTGGTTGTAACATCAGTCTGATTGATCTGTGTGATGATTTTAAGGATAGCAGTAACAATGTGGTCTACTAGTCCACTTTGCTTCAGGGAGATTGATTTTCCTGTGCTTACATTTAGGCATATTTTTGGAGTGTAAATCATGGTTCTAAAGATTCTGTAATAGTATTGGAAAAAACTTGTACAACAGTGGCCTTGCCTTAATTTTGCTAAAAGTAGTTTAGTTATTTAAAGAAAAACTATAAAAAGTTCTGGAATAAAGAAATCCATTATATCTCAGCCTTGATATTTCAAAAAGTTAAAAGTTGAATACAAGCTATGATGTGTGATAAAAGTTTCCCTTTTGCAAAGGGAAAAAGTTCTGATCAGGACAAAGAGAAGTCAACTCTCCCTCTGGCATTTTGAATAAATTTGTGAACTGTTGTACAGTGAGTACTGAACTTTTTCTGGAAGTAGCTCAAAACCAAGTTACAGTCTATGTAACTTCATGCTGTTGTGTAATAGCTAAACCTCAGATATTTATGGGTGAGGGGTAGAGGGTTAGTGCATAGTAGGACACTGCTGAGCACTTGAAGTTGTTGCAGGAGATGGAGTTGGTGACCAGTTGCTCTGAATGAGCACTCCCCGCTCACCTGGTTGGAGCTCTGCACCCAAACCAGCTTGTGCTCTGTGGGGCTGGTGCATTCAGTTCAGCACAAAGGTGTGTTTAATGCTGCTGTGTTCTGCTCCAAGTACTTTTGTTTTCTATCCCTCTAGAACAAGCAGTGGGAAAAGTTCAGTCATTAATGCAATGCTGTGGGACAAAGTGCTTCCCAGTGGGATTGGCCATACAACAAACTGCTTCCTCAGTGTGGAAGGGACTGATGGAGATAAGGCTTATCTTATGACAGAAGGATCAGATGAAAAGAAGAGTGTCAAGGTACATTTCTTGGATGATTTAATGCAAATTGTCACATAAACTGACTCTCAAAGAGTCTCTTTTTTAACAACAGTTACAAGTTTGGCAGAAGTATAAGGCTCACTCATTCTGCATTTTTAAGTTCTTATTTAGGAAGGGAGAGCAAACTAATGAAAATGTTCTGCTCCACAGTTTTTCCTGGCTGTTCTAGAGAAACAACTAACGTGTGTCTCATTGTAGCATAGCATGTGTTGAGTGATTTATTTTTATAGAGCTCAGTAAGTCCTATTACCCATTAAGGATTTGGAATGTGCCCTTCATTTGGGCTTACAGTACTCATCTTAGTGAAGTGCATACACTGTTATCTTAAAGCTCTGAGGCAAATTCATGATGATGCTCAGCAGCACACAGTCCAGGCCTGTAGGGAGCCTTTGTGGCTCAAAAGAAAGTCTTGTCTGCATTTCAAGGCACAACTTGTTCTTTAGATGCTGGTGAGTTGAATAGCTTAAAGAAAAAAACCACAGCTATTCACCAGAACAAAGTATGAACTCTGTTACCCTCTTCAAGATAAATCCTGTCCAAGTTTGCTTGAGAACTGAATTAGACTGGTTTACAGACTTGTTTGAGGTGCATATTCATGTTTGTCTTCTCTTTAATGCTCTCTCTAGACAGTCAATCAGCTGGCTCATGCACTTCACATGGATAAAGATTTGAAGGCTGGCTGTCTCGTCCATGTCTTTTGGCCCAAGTCAAAGTGTGCCCTGCTGAGAGATGATTTGGTTATAGTGGACAGGTATCTCTTCTGTTTTAGTAAATATTTTCTTAAGCATATTAGCCAATACAGTGTTTAGTAAAGAGATTGGTTTAGATTGAAAATTCTTGAAAGGCTTTTCTGTTTGAAAGGACAGAGTTGTTTCTTTTGTATGTACTGCTTGTCATCACCCTCCTGATTCTGCCCTCGTAGCAGTTGGAACAGACAAGTGTCTTGTGACTGAGCTGAAAAGGGGAATAGCTTTTGCCTGAGGATACCTTTTAAAACAGACAGTATGAAAGTGTGAATAGGGTTGTTGCAGCAACAACCTTTTGCCCATTTCCTTTCTTGAAATGCTTCAGACTGATCATGTGAAGTATAAACATTGTGGACTTCGTTTTTAAAAGGTTCTGATACGACTTGCAGTGCCTACATGCCAAAGGAATGGGTGACCTCAAAATGTAGTTGTGACTATGGCAGCTGTGTGTGCCCTGTGTTAGGCTGACATTCCTATGTGTTGATGTGTTTAAAGAATTCTGGAAGTGGTTGTTTTGTCCATGCTAAATGCCCTTATTTTTGGCCACTGCATTATAGCTTCAGACCTTCAGGTGATCTGTACCTGACATGTAAATCAAGAAATACTGAAGTTGAGATTAATTCACACAGGTATCAGTGAATTTTTAAGTATGGTTTCTTCAAGAAAACAACACTCAGAGTGTATTCTAATAAATTGCAGTGCTTTTTGTTCCATCTCTGTCTTGTACTTTGAAATCACTGGGAATTCGTTACTACTTTCTTGGCTGCATGATCGTGTATCTGTACAGCCTCTGTTGGTAAAGGGAAAAAAAAGAACATATATTCTGAGAGAGCAGGTACTTGAAAAAAGCAATTCATCTTTTTACTGTTAAATTGAGAAAATTTGAACCACAATATTTTAAGTGTTGCAAACATGGCCCATATTCCGCTTAATTTCTTTAATGGATAGCGCTATAGTTTTAACTTCATTTTCGTTTCTCCTTGAATCTATGCACAGCTTGCATAGCATATTGCTTTAAACTTGAACTTTATTAATGAAAAACAATATTTTATGAACTACAGTCTCTTTGATTAAAATTAGGATCTGAGGAGGGGAACCATTTGTGAGGCTGTCTGGGTTTCTGATGGACTGCCTGTCATTTCACTTGGCAGTTAATTATATGTGCATACTTACTAATCAGAAATTACATTTTGGAATGAGTAGGTAGTCTAATGATCAAATGACTGATAAATTCTAGATGGTAATTGGCTTGTGCAGTGTTTATCTTAAGCTGGAGGTAGGCATCAGCCTGAAGATACAAACCTCTGTAATTTCTTGCAAGGCCCTTAGGCATTTCCACTCTATTTTTATCAGTTTATAAAAATCAACTATTTCTTTGGTGTGTAAATAAGAGTTTGTGTTTTTTGTCCTTGACAGCCCTGGCACAGATGTCACTACAGAACTGGACAGCTGGATTGACAAGTTCTGCTTAGATGCTGATGTGTTTGTCTTGGTTGCCAATTCTGAATCAACTCTCATGAACACGGTATGATGTGCAATGATTTTATGTTCCTTCTTCATTTAAATATTCAGCAATTCCATAACCAGAATAGCTGAGACCTTTACAGAAGGTGAATCACTGCACTTAGGTCTTGTGAATAGGATTTGGGGGTGGGAGGAAAGAAATAATGTGTATCCCTCACTAGGAAACAGAACAAAATTTAAATTTCTTACTGGCTTGGCTTACTCTACCTTGGGCATCATTATGGTCCTTTCCAGATCAGTTGCATTTTTGATAAATGAGTGATGGAGGGCTTGTCCTGCCTTGCAATTTGTTGTTATTTGTTACCAACAAAAGAAGACACATATTATCAAAGAAATTAAGGAGTGTTTCATATCTAAAAATACTCCATAAATTCAGTAAAATACATTAATGAAGTGAAAGTTGAGTTCCCATCTTGCTCCTCTCTCAGGAGAGGGTGCATTCCCTTGACACACCTTGTGTTGAGGATGAGTGCTGCAGGTGCCCCTCAGTGAGCTGTGTTTCTTCTGAAGAAGGTGTTAGCAATAAGGACTCTGTGCAGTGTGGAGAGCTGAAGATACTTTTGTCTTTGTTCTGTAAAGCCTTCTTTCAGGAGAGAGAAGAGTTCTCTGAGCCTTGCAGCCTGAGTATTGTAGGACTTGTAAGAGGAGGGGAACATTTAAGGTAGCCAAAGCAGCTGTTGCAATAATCAAAATACAAGACCAGAAATTTGGTATAATTTTTGTAGTGATCTCCAGTTTTGACTCAACTAAGTATTGTGGATGCTGACAATAAAAGGTTTCCAAGTTACTGCAAGTGTGACTGCCAGAATGCAGAGTAATGCTACTGAGGAAATTCCTGATGATTTTTATTAAGCCTACTGCAGACAAATAATATGCTCTGGTTGTTCTGAGCATGGTTCTGACCTGAAAGGTGTGAACTTTCTGACTGTTGAGACAGTTTTTAATACAATAAAGAACCGAGTGTGCAAAGACAGTATTTCTTTGCATTCTAGCAAATTAGAATAGTTTGGTAGAAGTCTGAGAAGGATGCAAGTTTAAAAACATTGTGTTCCATCTTCTGAGCTGAGACCACAAAGAGTCAAATACAAGGGATGTAATTTAGAAGAGAAAGAAAATTCTTAAAACATTCCAAAGAGGATTTGGAACCACTGTGGCCATATTGTCTCTGTTATGCACAAGTGACACTTTTAGGCTTTTAGTAAGTTGTTTACATTATGCATATAACACAGTTGCTGGGGTCTTTTAATTAAAGGAAAAAGAAAAATTATTTCAGTGAACATCTCACTGCTGTATTGATGCAGATAAAGCTTTTGACCACTAAAAAGTTCTCATCCGCCTTAAGCATTGTTTTTGCATCTTACCATAACAGGTTTGAGAATACTTGGCATTGTTCTGCCACACTACCAGAGATTTTTTGTAGTGAAAATATGATTCTTCTACTGTTCCCTCATAAATTCTTTCAGACAAAGTTCTGATTTCTACAGCAGTGATCTGGATTGCACATGCTTATTCCCAGCTGAGGGAGAATAATGGCTCTCCAGTGCTGTGACCAGGATATGTTGTGGTGTCTTGCTGCAGTCTGGAAAAGTTTATGGCAGCCCAGAGATCTCTTCTGTTTCAGCATTGTTGAGTGGGGACTCACTGCATCACGACTTACCCATTATGACTCTGTTAACAGCAATAATGGGTGGTAGGTGCAGACAAGAGACCTAAATACACTTAATTTTGTTAAATTAAGGCATTCATCAATGTCTTCTTTTTCTGTGTCTCAACTATACGTCCTCATGCAGGAAATGTTATTTCTGTAGCTCAAGCTGATGTTGCCTAGCTGAAGAATAGTTTAGATGATGTATTATCTGGGTATAGAACCAGATTTGACAGGGTTAGCAGGAGCATCTTGATAGTTCAGGTAAGGGAGACTTCATTCTTTAAGTCAGGCATCAGTGTATTTTGAACTAGTTTTTGGACGTTTTCTTAGTTTGTATTTTTAGCAAGTTTTAGAGAAAGTTGCAGTGTCTTTGACTAACACTAGCATCAGTTTTAAGACATTTGATGACTTTTGGACTACCCTAAGCCTGTTATGTACTGAATATCTGTGGGTTTTTAATACTCATCAATTCTTTATAATAAACTTTCAAAAAGCTGGATAAACTTCAGAATCTATTACAGAAGAAAGCATGACTCTGGTTTGGATGTCTGGGAAATTTTCTGTTTGTGCTTTAATTCTTAGGAGAAACATTTTTTCCATAAAGTGAATGAACGACTTTCCAAGCCAAACATCTTCATCCTCAATAATAGATGGGATGCCTCTGCATCAGAACCAGAATACATGGAAGATGTGAGTGAACTGATGGCTCTTACATGGGTTGACATTTAATTAATACATATTAATATGGAAACACCAGCTTTGTCTTTTTAATAAAAGGCTAAGGTACATGGTCAGAAAATGGAAATAACCTATTCCTCATTCCAACCAAAAAGCAACTTGCAATTCAAATGACAATATATGCAAGTAATAAAATGGGAGACTTCTTTAGATCCTTTTTCCTCCACAGTTAAGCTTGTTTTTAATCTTATTTATATTACCTTTTTTTTCTGCAGTGATGGTGCAGCCTGAGTGCACAGTTTATACATTTATATCTCCATAGAGTAGCTGGGAAAGTGCAGCGTTAGATGTGAACAGTTTGGATCTTCAGATCTGGCCAGCAGCAGCCAGCTTGCAGTAAGAATTATTTCTCCATGTATGGGGAATGAAGGGTTTACCCCAGTAACTGGCTGAGCTCTCTGAGTTACATAAATGCAGTTGTAGAAGGAAGTATTGCTGTGTCCAGGTCTGTTTAAAGGAGTAAGAGAAGCTGCTGCTTCTGTAGGGCTGGCAGGCATCTGCTCTCAGAGGGTGGTTTAGCATCTGTTTCTGACTCTGATGTTGCAATGTGCTCACAGCTCAGTTTTTGCCTTCTTTTGATGAGCTTTTTGCCTTTTCTTTAGGTGCGTAGGCAGCACATGGAGCGCTGTCTGACTTTCCTGGTTGATGAGCTCAAAGTTATTGATCCTGTAGAAGCAAGGAATCGCATCTTTTTTGTTTCAGCAAAAGAAGTTCTGAGTGCCAGGAGACAAAAGGCCCAAGGAATGCCAGAGGATGGTGTGTAGCAACTCCTGCTTTTCCTCAAATACAGAAAACCACCATAAAAGCTAATAAATACATTTAAGACACAGTCCCTGCTGTGAGGTACTGCTGTGTCCCTGATAGTGTGTTGTTTCACAGGTGGAGCACTTGCTGAAGGATTTCAAACAAGATTCCAGGAATTTCAACATTTTGAGCAGATATTTGAGGTATTTATGATGGGCTTTTTAAACTGCCTGTTTGTTGTTGTAAAGGTAGCTTTTTCTTATGCTTAGCTTAATTATACTGAGCATTACCCATATTAGCAAGTGGAGGAGTGTAAGGTATTTAAACCATCTGCAGCTTTGCTTTTCTGTGAGTTCTGTTCATACCTTCTCACCTTGAGTAGCAGATAGTTTTTGGAAAGGAGAAGGGACCAAAACTCTTAGCTCATGTGTTGAGATCTCAAGACCAATATAGTCTATATAAGAAGAAATTATGGTCTTGAAACGTGTATCACTTACAGGCACGTGCTGGTGAATGTTCGCAGTAAGAAATTTAGTTTCATCCATGTAAATCTAAAAATTTACTTTCATTTCTAAAGCCAGAGTTTTGAATCTGTCACCATTATGTACCTGTTATCTCTGTTGCTCTGATCATTAACACTTTCCTTGCATCCTTTGTGCTGTACAGAATCCACCCTTCTACCTTGGTTTAGCCGTATTTGTAGTTCACAGTTTCTACAGAAGTAGGTCTGGCTAGACAGTTGAGTGGTTTCTTTGTGATAGAATCCATTTGACTTGGTAATTTGATAACTTTAATTAACTAAAGCCATTCTTGGATATCTTAAGGAATGGCTTTGTATATGAGTATTTTAAAAAAATCAAACTGCCTCTGAAAAGTCTTTGTTCTTGCATTACAACAAACCCATTTAACCTTAGTAAAGCTGAATTATGTAATCATGTGTGTATATGAGAAAGGCTTCAAATTAATAGCTTGAGTCGGTCTTGCATAAGCAAGAAAATGTCAGACTAAATTTAATCCTTATCCACACTCTTGTGATAGGTGACTGAAGTGTTGAAATGATAGGTTCAGGGTACTGGCAGGGCCTGGCTCCATGAGACATGACATTTCTTGTGTCACTAGCTGTAGTCAAACATGCATGTTGTTTGCAATTTTTGTCCTCAGAACCATAGTGGAAATTGAGCTTCTAAGATCAGTTATTGTGTTTTATTGTATTTTGCCATCTGCTGTACCCAAAGCTTTTTTGACAAAATCTCTTATAATTACAGTTGAGCACTCAATGCTTAGAATATTTCAATATGAGGATAGATGATGACTTATTGAATGATGTGATGCTGCCAGCACCCAGCACATCTGTAAATCAGATGTCACAGGCTCAACCTGGTCACCACAATGAGAAGTATCTGTCACAGGATCACAACCATGACAAGTTTCTGTGGCAGAGGCTGGGACAAGGAACAGCACTGCATGGCCTTAAACCAACCTTTTTTCTTTTTTCCCAATGTGTTACATTTGCTGCACAACCTGACTCCAGCAGTGAGAGTGGATTCTGTAGTATTTTACCCTGCTCAGCTGTCTTTCGTCCTAAAATCATTATTTATGGCTTTAAGTAGGGGTGTGATCCCATCATTTAGAGAATGACAGCTGTGCTGACTTAAGGTTGCCAAAGCAGTTTAAATTTTGAGTGCTTGCTGTTGCAGCCTCCTTCACATTCAGGTTTTGTGGCACTTTTCTAAGTTATAGTGGCAGTTCATGTGCTCTTAAAGCAAGGTTGAGACTGAAATGGTTTACCAGGTCTGAAGTTTTCAGACCTAATACTCAAATTTCTGTCACCTGAGTGGATAAAGTAGCTGACATCAGCATACTGCTGTCATCAGTTCTGCCTGCTAGCTCTAGGCTCTGTATTAATGAGGAATCTCAGGCTGCAGGGAGAACTTTCTGTGTGAAACCCTTGCTGATATACTGTGCCTTGTGCACTGCCAGACCAAACTCAGATGCTCTGCAGCCCTGAGTACAGCCTAAGCAGTTCTACCTAGAGCATTTTGCATTACTCTGTTTCCTGACAGAGGAGCTGCAAATCCCAGCATCTGGGGTTACATTCCAGTGTGTGAAAAAGAAAGGATGAGAGCACAGATGCTTCTGTCCGTCCTCATCAAACACTGATTCCTCCTCTACCTTAGTCTGTCTTGCCTTTAGCTCCTTGTCCTGTGCCCTCCTTTGACTTCCCAGACATCTCTCACTTTTCTGTCCAACTCACATCTCCCAGTAATCTGTCACCTCACAGACCTGTCCACATGTGCCTTGTTCTCCCTGGCTGTTACCTGCTGGGTTTGCTCCTCCTGGATTCTCTCGCCCTGTTTTTGTCGTCACTTATATTGGACAGCTTTTCCCTCTTCTCCATATGGGCTAAGAAGAGAAACTGTTACTTCTCCAGTACTTCCACATTCCTGATTTTAGTATCACTTCCCTGATGGGAAAGCCTGTTCATTCCAGGACTGGTATGAGCTCAGTATATATAGAATCTTTAAAAAAAAAAATTCTAGAAACAACCCACCAGTGCTAGTTAGTTGTGATATGAGAAAAACTTGGACTAATTTAGAAAGGCTTGTAAGATTTATTTAGACTTTTGTGTGAGGGCAAAAATCATTCTGAAACTAGATGAAACATGTTTGTCTGCAAAGCACAGGGTGGCTGAAATTGCTAAAAAAAACAACTGGTGCAGGCATTACTAGAAACACTTTTAAGCAGTGGGAAATTGGGATTTTAGAGATTCTTGTAGTAGCTTTAAAATGTGATGCTACTATGTCAGCTGTATTGCAGCAAAGGAAAGGAGAGAGGCAGTCTTAAAGTATGAAATTCTTGGATCAGTGGTGGGTTTTTATATTGGGGAATAATAGAAAGTGGTCAGTGTCTTTCCTGTAGTTTTACACTGAGGTACATAGAATGCCTTATTAAAACAGCAGAGAAATGCCTGGACCCTGCACTAGAGGATATCCTACATAAAACCAACCCCACCAAGCCTTAGGTTGGTGTGCTTCTCAAGTTTCTGAGAACTGGCAGCAGAAGTGCTGTGGGGAGCAGTGGAGGAGGGAGGCAGGGTGGAGGAGTACTCCTGGCTGGCAGAGCTGGAACGAGGCAGCTGCTGCAGAGCCCTTCCCCAGCTCTGCCCAGGGATGGAATACAGGACACACTGGCACTAATGACTGTGCTGTGATTCTGGCAGTGGGCTGGAATGTAACTGGTTTTGGTTAGACTGTTGAAACATCTTGGTTTCAGTAAATACTTATGTACAGACTAACAGCAAAACTGCTGCTGTCCCCCTCTTATCTTTCCCCATTGTTTAACTAACCTTTGTGTTTTTCCTAGTGCTCTAACTTGGATTTTCTGATTGTGTTGTGAGTGATTGTCATCCTTTTATCTACCACATACTAACGTTGGGAAGACTCTGCTCTGTGCCTAGTCTAGCTCTTACAATGTGCTGATATTTAAGAAACTCTGGCCTTTCATTGCTGATTTCTAGATCTGCTTCGTCGAGGAACAGGGACTGTTCTATCCATTTTGTTTATTTTGTTTTCATCTATTATTTTTAGATAGCTGAAATTTATAATTACAGCCTATGCTAAGGTCATAGGCAAGCCCTCTAAAAGTAATCCAAACCTGTGCCATGAAAGGTGAATCCACAGATAGAGAACAATTCTAAAATCCCATGGATCTGGGTTAAGGAAGTCAGCTGCTTGCTCTCTTTCCCTCAAAGTCAAGAGTTCTTCAGTCACTGTCCTGTATTTCTGAATTGCTGTTCAGTATTGAAGATTGATTAGAAATTGTATCATTAGAGCATTTTCTGCTTACTCATTTAACACTTCAATAATATGCAAACAAGCTGGTATTTTAAGGACTACTTAGATTTTGTTTATCCCATAAGAAAACCCTTGTTTCTTATTCCTAATTGTATCTTTTGTTCCTGGATGGTCAGTTTTGACATGAGAATGTCAAATTCTATTGACAGAATTGTCTCTTGAAAGTAAGACTGTGTAGTCCAAATAAAACTCAAGCCAGGCCATATTGCTAGCATTCATAAATAGATGGTTTTGAAAATTTCCTGAAGAGATAGATTTATCTTATGTATTCATCTGAGTTTCTTTTTTTTTTTTTTTACATTATTAATTTATTTTAAAAGAATAAAAACCTATGCACATTACTGTGAATGAACATGAAGGCAGATTTGCTGCTATAGATTCATTTGAGATTTCAGCTTCTGTTGTCTTTTAATTTCTTTATACTTTCTCCCTTTTTACTTCCCACTGGTTTAAGTTCATGGTAAAGTTGGCAGCATATGCTTTCTGAGAGTGAAATTCCTGATGGTGTTGGCATGGAATTGCAGTAATGTGTTGTGGCTTGGGCCCCTCGCAGGAGTGTATCTCGCAGTCAGCCGTGAAAACCAAGTTTGAACAGCACACTATCAGAGCTAAACAGATAATAGATACTGTGAAAAACATTATGGACAACATAAACGTTGCAGCAGCAGAGAAAAGGTAGGTGGGGTGGAGGGCTGGTTGGATTTGGTTTGTCCAGATCATCTGAGGAGCCATTTCTGGGCTGGTGATTTTCCTGGGCCATTATGGACTTTAAAGTTCACTTTTTCTGCTTGGTAAGAAACAGACAATTTCCCTGGTATGTGAATATGTCAGTCTTACCATTGTTCACTTGCCCACTCAGTTCTGTTCTTGGTCTGTGATTTCTGTACAGGGATCTTTGGTGTACAGGGTTTGCTTTGGTGTTCTTTATTACTGATTTGCAATCTGTGTGTTTTCAAACCTTTTTTCAGAAATATTTAAAATGTGAAGTTTTTCTAGTAATATCCAGCATTTCAGAGATGATATTTGAGCCTACTTAAAAATTTAAATTTAATTAACAGTTACAATGAAGAAGAAAAATGGAAGTATGTAGAGGCTTTAATTTGCAAGTGATTAGAATACTGTAAGGAATGAGATGAGCCCAGGCTAACAGAGGCTTGGCCTCTGGCCCTTTCCAGATTGGATCCTTAAATATCCTTATTCTCTTTTCACTCATGTAATCCTTTAGTGCTAATGATAGCAGCTCATCTGTTCTGTCTGGTAGCTTCATGTATCCTTTGAGGTTTGCATATGTGTACAGTTTTTCCTCACTTTTGTTGCCACCTTGTGTCTCTTGTACACAGTGAACTTGCTGTCACAATTAATCCTTCCCATCCATCTCCTTCTTGCCTGTCAATAATGTGTCTTTGTGTTTCAGCAGACTTCACTGTGCTGTCAAACACTCATCCCCCTGAGTATGTCAGTTTTTACAGACTGCCTGTTTACATACTGACTTGTCTCACATTGTCAGATACCGTGAAAACATGCTGTGAAATGTTTGAAAATATTCTGATATTCTGCTTCTTTCTATCAATTGACTTAACCAAAATATGTGTGGTGATGCCTCTTAGTCTGAATTGCTGTTTGTTGTTTCTGCTGGCCCTTCAAGAGGAAATTGCTCCAGGTTTTCAGGAATTTTTGCTTAAGTGATAGGTTAAGGAATTCTAAAGAGACTTGTTTGTGACAAGGTTGGTTACTGCCATGTCCCCTTTGCTTTGCAGGGTCATCAGACCCACATCACTGTTAAGGAATTGTTGAGTGCTGTTTGTGAGCAGCAGTTTTACCCTTTTTTAAAATCAGGGTAGATGAGTTATTAAAGGCCTCTGATTCCCCACACCTTTTTTAGTTGTAATTATGTGACAATACAGTGATAACAGTTCTGACTCGAAATGCTGGTTTTGAGTTGTGTTTGCTCAGCACAGCCTTTGAATGCTCGTGCACATGGAGCTGCCATGTACAGCCCTTCTTGGAGCAGTATCTCTGCTTTGGGCAGCCAGTGTTACCTGTGATTCCCCCTGGCTGCTCAGAAACCATCAGCTGGATGATCCAGGCCTGGTTAAGGGCTTGTTTCCTTCCTGGGGGAATACATGGTGGTGATGGTGATTTCCTTTCTGCTGGGTTAGAGTCCATTCCATGGAAGAGCGAGAAGATCAGAAGGACAGGCTGGACTTTGTTAGAAATCAGCTGAACATTTTGACAGAAGACACCAAGGAAAAAATCAAACGCGTTACTGAGGAAGTGGAAAACAAAGTAAGTAAAGGCAGTGGGAACAACTTCTCAGATCCAGGTGTTGCCTTTTCTCTCAGGCAGCTCCTTTTGCAGCCCACCCATCTCAGGAAATGTGTTTGAAATGTCAGAATGATCCTTTTTCAATTAAAAAAAGAACAAAAGCTTAAAATGGCAATCTTTCCTGACTGTCAGGTGATTGAATGATTTTTTTGGGACAGTTCATGCAGTAGTCTGTTCTCACTCTGTCTGGAAAAGGCAGGAGAAACATTTTATGTGTTTCCTGTGTTCTTCCAGGTCTCCGCTGCCATGACTGATGAGATTTGCCGGCTCTCAGTCTTAGTTGATGAATTTTATTCTGATTTTCACCCTTCTCCTCAAGTTTTGAAGCTCTATAAGACAGTAAGTTTTCTTTAATGGTTTGAAGCCAGGCTCTTTGTCTTTCCCTTAATTTCTCCTTCTGTATTTTCATAAATTTCATAGATTTTTGTGACTTAGAGCATTGCAGGATTTTTGTTTGCTGACGTATGCATATCTCTACCCAAAACTGAAAAAGGTTGAAAATACTTTTTGCTTTGTTTTTGGAAAGAAATTAATTTTTTCAGCATCTTCTTAGTAGTACAGTGGTTCCTAATTTCAAGTCTTCACTTCCAGTAAATATGATTTTGCATAAATAATTTTCACTACTCCTAAAATTAATCCAAAAAGAAAATGAGCTTGAAAATACTCAACACTTCTCATAAGAACTTCTTTGGATTTTTTTAACTTTTATAAATTCCTCCTCAAATTTAGTGCTTTAAATTAAAGCACATATACCTGTGTTTGCCTCTTGTGCTCAGACTTTGCTGATAATGCTGACTGCCATAGCACCCCCCTGGTGTCACAGAGTGTTCTGAGTTGGAAGAGAGTCCAACTCTCACACAAATGGCTCATATGGGGATCAGACCCACAACTTTGGTATTAATAGCGCCATGCACCAACCAGCTGAGCTCATCTCAGGCTGTTCCACCCCGGCTGATCACCTGGGAGTGCTGCATTTTCAGGACAGTCTGTGCTGGTTCACCTCAGCAGAGCATCCTGAGCAGGCCCCCATGGGAGTTGGTGGGATGGGTTTGTCCCTGTGCAGAGCAGTGGACTTGGCTCCCATCAGATGAAACAGTAAGGGCTTTGCAGGGCAGTAACTGGTGGTTTGCTTTTCACTGTCACAGTGAAAAGTACAGACTTCTGTGCCTTTTAATGTTTACAGTTCTAGGGAAATCTTTCTTGTGTCACTTTAGTTAGGTTTTCAGTCCCAGTGTACAGTTGGAAAACATGGTATTTCCATGGAAACATGCTTTTCTTCCCACTGTATATAACTTGCTTAGTGTGTAACATATTCCTGCTCCATGTAATGTAACTGAATGGCCAAATGCAAACTGATGAGCTTGATTTCTTTGTAACACTTCAGGAACTGAACAAACACATAGAAGACGGTTTGGGAAAGAACCTGGCTGAACGCTGCTCCACTGAAGTCAACCAGTCAATGCACCAGTCCCAGCAGGAGATGATTGGTAGGAGGAGGGAGGAGGAATGGTAACACTTCACATTTAAAGGAAGAGAATCTAAGAAAATTCAGTTTTAGAAGAATTTTCCTTCTGATCATGCTTAACATCAATGCTATAAAGGAAAAGCCATAATAGACCAGGAGTGTTTAGCTCTGTCCTCTGTTTCTGGTACTTACCAGTAGCAGATGCTGAAGGAGAAGAATAATGAAGCAGGGTAAATATAGCAATCCCTCTCCTTTTTATGGACTTCCTGGGCTGGTATACTGCATCTGGATTAATGGCTTAAGCAAGTAGTAATGGGCCTGTCCTTTGGAAACTCATCTAATCCTTTTATAAAGTCACATAAAATTTGGCTTCAACGGGAGACACACCAAATATACTAATTATTAGGAAATGTTCCTGCAGTATAATGTTCTCCCTATGTTCCTCCAAACCCATAAAGCAAAACAGTTCATTTCATAAAGGATTTGTGCACTCCCCTTTTTGTTTTTCTTTATAAGTAGTAACTATTGCACATCCATCTCTATTGGTCTGGTAATAAAAGATTCAGAGGAAGATTATGAAATTATGTGAACCTTTCTGTCCTCTTATCTAATAATGTTGCCTTTTCTGTGTGGCACAATGGAACTGATGGATAAATAGATTTTTTTTTTCTTACTCCATCCCTATCTTTTGACTACTGGTAGACATCTTTCAGTTAATTTGAATCTTTCTTCCAGCAGTGTTTCCTTGGTGACCTGATTTTCATGACTGTTTTCTTGTATCAGAGCAATAAATTCCCTGCTCTGTTTGGGTAATCTTGATGAAATTCCACTGATTTTACAAATAAATAAATAAGTAACAGATCCGTTTAGATTCTCTGAATTGACAAAGCTGGTCAGCAGTGCAGAGGTACTGCTGGTGAATATGCTCTTCCTGTAATGTTAACTCATCTTTACTGTTTGTTCTTATTTCTAGAAAATCTGAAACCATTGTTGCCTTCTAGTGTTCAGGATCAGCTCCACTTGCTAATTCCATGCAGGAAGTTTGATCTTAGCTATGATCTAAACTGTCATAGCCTGTGTGCAGATTTTCAAGAGGATATAATGTTCCACTTTTCTTTGGGATGGACTTCTCTTGTAAACCGTTTCTTGGGTCCTAAACAAGCTCAGAAAGTACTTCTGGGATTAGCAGATCCAAACCTAAATGTGAGTCCTTCAGTGCTTGGGCTGGTTTGTTTTACCTTGATGATAATATATTGATTCTTACTCTGTGCCAGTGCTATTTATACACTTCCTGCTACCTTTCCCTAGATCCATTGTGTGAAATATTTTTGGTGTGGGTTGTTTTTATTTGATTATATTCAGGGTTAAAATGGAACTGAAAATCTCTTAAACTTTCTGCAGCTGTTACACAAGTTGGTTTTCCTTTGGATTGAACCGTTTGAGTAGCCTATTCCATTTGTAACATTTGGATCCTGAGGTCTGAACCAGCCCTACACAGACCCTTATTCTCTGTTGGGGGAACTGTCAAAGCCACCATGGCTCCTCAGGAGTCTTGTTCAGATTTCACTGCTGAAGGGTTTCCTTCAAGTAAATCAAAACCTGAATATATGAAAATGAAACCCATCTGTGTAGTTCCCTGATGCTTTTGATTCAGGCTGCTGTGTTCCCATCTTCTAGATCCCTCGTCCTTTAGCCAGCACCCCGTCTGCTGCCAGCCTTCCTGCCATAACTCCCGAGAGCGTGCCCCAGGATGAGTTCATGGTTCCTTTGGTGTTGAGTTTAGCCTCGCTGACATCCCGGACCTCCATGAGCATCATCGTTGTTGGTGGAGTGGCAAGTAGCACTGGCAGCATTTCCTGCTGGAAGGGGTGGCGGGGGCTGAGCTGCTCTGTCCTGCTTGGGGTGTAACACAGAGCGTGCCGTGGACTTGACACTGGGCCAGATGAGCACGAGCAGTGCTGTGGATACCCACAGTCAGTTTGTAAACCAGGCTAATCCCTCTGAGGATAGCTGGGTATATTCTCTGTCCCATAAGTCTGTGTTCAGTGCATGAATCAAATGATGATCTGATGGTACCTCCTTCAGTTTGAATTTAGTTGGAGTTTTGCTTCTTCCTTCATGAAAGAGCAGCAAGCTTCTGTAACCTGCACGTTCTCTGTGCCACTGGAGACCAGCTCATGTGAATGTACTTGTATTGCTCTGCAGTAATATGGAAAACATTTGTTTTCTCAAACAAGTCCAGTGAAAGGGCTATGGAGATGATTTTTAAAATATGGGTGGAATTAGCATTTATTCTGTAGGGTGACTTATTTAAATTAATGAAGATTTTATTTTTCAGATCTGGAAAACCATAGGCTGGAAAGTGATCTCCTTGTCCCTGAGCATGTACGGGCTGCTGTACCTGTATGAGAGGCTGACCTGGACCACGCGGGCCAAGGAGAGAGCCTTCAAGCAGCAGTTTGTGAACTACGCCACCGAGAAGCTGCAGATGATCGTCAGCCTCACCAGCGCCAACTGCAGCCACCAGGTGCAGCAGTAAGTGTCACACGGGCTGGCCACAGGCCATTGTCACTGGCCCTGCACCTCCAGTGTCCCTTGGCACTTAGTGGGAGGGAGTTTGAAGAGAGTTTAAAATGCCCACCTGAAAAGGCCAGTACCTGCATCTGTGTGGCTGTGCGTGGTGCTCTGAAGATGGTGACTCTTTGTCCAGCACCTTTCAGTAGACACATGAGAGATCATTCTAGTGGAGGCTGAGTTGCTCTGTCCTTGGAGTCCCTGGAAGGATGAGAACAGCTTCTGCCCCAGGGGCTGCTATGGGCAAGCTCTGAGCAGCCAATCCTGGCTCTTCTGCACTGCAGGAGATGAACTTGGCTAGCCTTTCTGAACTATTCCCTGAGCTACACAGGAGAGGTGTTCTGCACCCTGCGGGCTAGAGGGCACATTAGCAGCCCTAATTTTCTGAAATAATAATTCAGTCAAAACACATAGTTTCAAGAAGCAGCTAAGGAAGACAGGCAGACATTACTTAGCAGAGACAGGTGGGAAAGTGTTTTGGAAAGAGAAAACAAAAAAAAAGGAAGTGAAAAGTTAAGCTTCAGTAGAGGAAATAGATCCATCCCTGTGTCCATTAGCTCTGTGAGGACATGGAAGAGCTGCACTCAAGTGCTCCAGTAGAGAGGAGAGGGTGCTTCATCTCCAGCATGAGAGCTTTGGTGCTGGGCCCAGGCTGGTAACTGGGTTTGTTTTCCCTTTGTTAGAGGAGGATTCTTGGAACAGGTTGGGGTGGGCAGGTCTGGAGTGCTCCTCACCCTGCACAGGGCTCATGTTCCTGTGAGCAGGGCACTGAGTGTGGCACAGGGTGCTGAGCTTGGTGGTGTGGGGCTGCTCTGGCACCTCCTGTCACAGCCAGAGCCCCATCTCAGACCTGGACCTGTTAATGTTCTATGAAAATGGCCAGGCACGATGTAGGTGTAGACTGAGGTGCATTGGGTGTGTTGAGAGTTTTTTTTCTAATTTAAAAAGTACCCAGTTCTCCTGCTTTCTGCTATTCTGTACTCCCTTAACAGCTGCAGGATTTGATTGCTGTGTTCTGCACACTTCAATGCCATGAGTTTTTATTTCTTTCCTTTTTTTTTTGCATAGACTTCTGTAAATCATGATTATAAACTTGTTCTTGCTTTAGGGAAATGGCCACTACTTTTGCTCGGCTCTGTCAGCAGGTGGATATTACTGAGAAAAACCTGGAAAAAGAAATAGCTAGGCTTTCCAAAGAAATAGATCAGCTGGAGAACATACAAAGCATCTCCAAGCAGCTGAGGTAAGTCTTGGTGTGACTGGCCACAAGCATCTCTTAGCCCTGCTGACTTCAGAGTGATCAGTGTTTGCTGTTACTCTGGAGTTGAACTAGGTTAGCTCAGGTGCAGGAGATGCAAAGATATCCTTAACAGCTCTGGGTAAGTTCATCAGTGAATCAGCTAATCTCCAAAAATATTATTTCTTAGATCATCTTTACTCTTGTCTCTCTTTAGTGTGGGAGACAGGCGTTTCACCAGAATTTTAGTCTCCTGTTGGTAACTTGAGGGTGGCACTTTCCCAAAGCCCCCTCCCCAGAGCAGAGCAGGAGAGCAGCTGTGCTGTTTTGAGTCATCCAGTGCAGTAGTGGTGGTGCCAGTGGTAGGTGTTTGCAGAGGAGGTACTTCCAGCAGTTGGTGGTTCAGGGACTTGGAAGCAGCCCTGCCTGTATTTTCCTGTTCTTTGCACCTGCTGAAAGGCTGCCCTGGCTCTGGGCTGTCACCTCCTGGCCTCAGGTATCCACCACCACTGAAGGTGAACATCTGCCCCCACACACCCTTTCTATAAACCTGCATTTATGTTTTCTTAGTGCTGGGGCTGTGGGTAGACAAACAGAAATGAAACACTGATATTGATCCTGCCTTTGGGATGTTTGGGCACTGAAGTAAATCCTTTGTTTTTGTTTGTTTTACAGAAATAAAGCCATTCACCTTGAGAATGAACTAGATCGCTTCACAAAACACTTTCTTCAAAAGAGTAAATAAAACATCATTGTGAACTTTCCCGGTGCTCCTTTGTCGGGCAAAGTAGAAATTTTACAGGTGACACTTCTATAAAAATTATTTATATTTTTAATGTTACTGTGGTGACAGTTGTAAAACTTGGACTTTGATGGTGAACCAAACGGAAGAGCTGTGGTACTCTTGAGTGTTATGTTCGTTTTGCAGATTTTGGGTTAAAAATTACCTTTAAACACTAAATTTTTTGGGCACTTGACAATAAAACTCCAAATTCTCACTGGTTTTCATGAGTATGTAGCAGTGGCAAGTCTCACTTCCCTGGCATCCAGGACCTTACACAGGGAAAGAGCTTAGCCCAGTCTCCTGCTTTCAGCTGCTTAGGAAGCGTCCAGGTATGGAGGGTGCTGGTTTTCCACGTGGGTGTGAATTTGTTTAGTGAAATACAAAACTCTGGCATGGGAAAAGACTCCTGACATGTTTGGAAAGCAGGTGCCAGTGTGTTGAGTAGCAGTTCCTCTTGAAAGGGCAGCAGAGATGAGGGTGAACTGCAGTAAGGCAATGCAGTGGGCTCAAGGTTCCTCTGGCTACATCCTTGAGCCAAGAAGGCACTGATGACATAAAAGTGAACCTGTTTCTTGCAGTTGGTAGAGCAGTGAAGTGGTGTTTTGCCTGTGAGCACATGGCTAGAGCCAAGCACAGCAGGGTCTGGGCACAACTGGTTCAGGTTAGAAGGGGCTCAGGGTCCTGTTGCTGCATTCAGGGAGCAGGACATGGTGAAACTCCCTGCCCCCCCTCTGCTGTAGGACAGGTCTCCTCTAGGTCAGACTCCAGGCAGCTGTGCTGGAGTCCTTGACCTTTGCTCGCCTCCAGCAAAACCTCTTTAAAAGCCTTCTGCTGTTGCTGCCTGCAGTCATTCAGCATCTACTTTTTTCTAACTAGACTTTTTACAATTATTTTAAGAGAGGCCTTTCCAGAGTATATATTTTTATGGCAGTGTTAATACTGACTGAGTTAAAGATGGAGCTCTAAGGTATAGGAGTTTGCTATTTTCAAGTAATTAAGGGCTGTCTCATCAGGGAATAGATGTAAGATGCAATGCTAGAGATGTTAAGGGAAGACAGCAGTTCCACCAGTGTGCTCAGGTGTTTCTTCTAACTGTTGGTTTGAGGGAAAGTGTGGCACTGACCCCTGAGAAACAGCCCAGCCTTGGTGTTGGTGAGGGCACAGCTGCAAATCAGTGCTCTGTTTGTGGAGCATTTTTATTGATAATGTATCAAGATAAAACTTTCAATGCATGTGTTTTACAGTTATTTATTAAAAAACGTCTACCCCTTTGCTCTGCTAAGTTCTTTGGCAGCTCTGTCCCAGGTGGAGGCCTGCACATCACTCCCACAGGTAATGCAGATCCAGAACAGGTCCCAGCTGCTGCTGTGTGGCTGCTCCATCCCAGCCCAGGGACACTTTCAGCCCAGCGGCTGCTCTTACACAACACTGACAAATGAGCCAGGCTGGTTAAAAGCACTTGTTTATTGGTTACAATATCAACTCATGGCAACATCTTTCACTGAGCCACTGTACAAATACAAAGAAAAAGATCCATCGTGGAAAAAAAAAGCTATAAACAAAGTTCATAGCAAGTGATTTTTTTTTGTCACAGGGAAGTCTTTGTACAACAGCACTGTTAAAAGAACAAATGGCACAAGTCCCTGGTTTTTTAATAGCTTAAATAAAAGCTTTAAGACTGTTTCTGAATACATACATAATCCAAAGGCAGTGCAGAATCACTTCATAATTGGTAACATTACCAAAGTTTTCCAAAGTAGTCAGCAACAAGTAAAAACAAAACAAAACAAGCTGATGAGAGGTGCTGGTAACTAAAAGCAAAGTAAAATTAAGCAGGTTTAGAAACACTTTGCTTTGGACTCCTTTGGATGTAATATGTACTACAAGTGTTCAGATGCTTTTATTAAAAAAAAAAAAAAACAAAACACAAAGAGAGCACCATTGTGTAAGTAAAACAAAGGTTTGAAATACCTAAGACTATTCCACCGAAGTCCATATTAGTTAAAACCTAAACATACTGTGTGGTATAAGAATGTCAGGCACATGTAATCTGTTATCATTTATATCAATTAGTAACACTGTTCACACATTTACCATAACAACACTGCATTAACATTCTGCATGTATTTTACATAACCAGCAATTGGATAAAAGGCTCTGGTGCCTCTGAAGTGTAGGAGGAGTGTGACCAGCATGCATGCCAGAGTACTGGATACACAGTGCACCATCAACCCATGCTAAGTACTTGGACAGGAAATGCTATCTCAAAACCAGCCATTCTGCTACACAACCATTGATACCAACTAGTCCAATTAGCCAAAACTCTCACCAACATCTTAAAGCACAGCACTAAACCTAGTGGAGGCGACACTGTCCCCAGAGAGGACAGACACAACTCTGGGAATGTTTTCACAATGTTTTCATTCCATCTTAAAGTAATTAATGGGAACTTCATCAAGGGATGAGCGGTTACACAACTGAAGGAAGGAATCAACTACTTCCACCCTGTGCATTACAGTAAGGACACACTGAGAGCTGCTGCTGCTCCAGTTCAGCTTTGCCAGCGCAAGGTCAGGCCCTCTCCTGGGGCAGGAAAAGCCTCTTTAATGCATGTTCCCTTTGGAGTGGTACAAATCCTGTCAATCCACGCAGTTGTCAGCTCTGCCAGCACTGCCATGGATTTCCAGCTCAGCCCAGCAGAGGGACAGCAGTGTTTGGAAGGAAAAGGGCTGCAGACAGATGGAACCAGGCTGCATTACTGAAGTGCATGGACAAACATCAGCACAAAGCCACAGCAGCTTTCTGTGGTTTCCAGACTATCATACTGCTTTCTCCACCAATTAACAGCCATCTAAGGCTACATGGGAACAAGCCCAAGCTGGGCACTTGCCTGAAGGGAGAACTCTCTATTGGAAAGTTAGATCACATTAGAAAATGCTGACAAACTCTACCAGAATAAAATAAACCTTGCCACACCAAGCACATGGTTCTGCTTCCCAAGCCACAACAGATTGCCTTTAGAGGACAGGCTGGGCAAGAGTCACTGTGCCACTGTTTGGCACAATGCTTTTGGTTACTCCAGTTCTGTAATGACACAACTTATTTGAAATTCAGCTAAGGATGTAGTCTGGCTACAAGCTTTTAAAGCCAGTGAAGATGTGCCCACTCATGCTGCAAGACCTGCTGCGAGCAAGTTTGCTGTCATGGTGCGGAGTCAGAAGTCACACAAGCTGCACACCTGGGCCCACGTCAACTGCAGACACATGCCAGTTTCTTTGAAATTCAAAGCTGGGGTAAAACCTATCAAGGGTCATTTTATTACCTTCCTTCTTTTAGGAAGAGCTTTTACCATAAAAGCCACTTCTGCTTTAGCTGGGGCACCAACCTCCAGAGGTCCCTGCCAGCCATTGGAAGAAGAGAATGCCACAGCCTGAGTCATTCTGTGGCATCACACAGTACCTGTGGTACTGGAATCTGCAGGCTTGAAAAATAACCCACAGCAGGGCAGGAATGGAACAGCAAACACCACCTGGGCAGGATCTGTCACAGCTTCCAGAGGCTCCAAAGCCGTGCCAGACGCCAATTCCCCTGCTGTGCTCAGGCATCTCCCAGGCCTCATGTGCTGACACCGGAGCCCCTCAGACCTGGGGTGAGCGAGGAGCAGAGGCAGGCAGAGCTCTGTGATGCTGCTGGAAACCTCAGCAAGTAGTTGGCATTCCTTAGGATTTATTTTAAAGGCAGCTGAATCCAAGAGGCAACAGCCATCCAACAATGACAGTGAAGTTATTTGCTGTAATACCTGTACAAGAGCCATTACCACTGTTACAGGCTACCTGAACTGGTAAGAAAAGTTATATACAGCTGTAAAATTGGTTCTGGAGTTTCACAAGTAGAAACCAGTTTTAATACCAGAATGTAAAAATGGCACCTGTCTCAGCAAAGGTCCTGACTAGGAAATTGGTTCAAAACACACTTCTATGGAAAAGAATTTTTTTAGAAAAAGAATATTTTCTTAAAATTCCTTAGTAACAAATTTCCAGAATGATTCACTCAAGGCAGCTGTGAGTTAAAAAAAATAATCAAGTGCACCACTAAAAAATAAACTGAGTCTGCAAGATCCCAAAGAGCAGCTCACTTAAGAGAGTTACAAGAATTCCATAATAGTTCTATAAATGCAGACATATCATTAAGCAAAACACTGAGGAATTCCTGTGAGACACAATACAGTGGGATTTTGGTCCTACACCACAGGCTGCTGTTAGGAAATGTTCCTTCTCCAGTATAAGAAGCGCCTTTTTCTCAGTTTAAAAGTGAATTTACCGTGATTGACTGGTACATTTATTGGCACCTTCACCATTATAGACATGGTGAGTTTACAGGCACAGTCTGGAAGTACTGAAATTTAGGATTAAAAAATGTCAGAAACTTGACAAAAGTAATCTCAACCAGAAAACCATTTGGATATACTGCAGGATTCTGGGTCCTTCTCTTTCCTACCTGACCCAGAGACACCCAGACTTCACATCAGTTCCAATGAATGATGACTAACAGCATCTTCCAACCTGGTAATTTAAAATTCACGTTATCTTTAAAGTAAACCACTTAAGAGAAGCCAATAGACTTAATCCCCCATTCCAAAATAGCCACAGATGTCCAGATTCCTTAAGGAACATCCACTGCGAGTGCAGACATGCTGCCAGGCACCAAAAAGTTAAGCAACCTCCCTGAGCAGTTTCAAATGGGCATCAGTCACATGATTTTCCTGTCTCTGCACTGAACTGTACTTGGTGAGATTTCTAGGCAACTGACATCAAAATCAGAATCAAATCAGGAAAAGAGCAGAAATGGCCGTTTACAATGTTGGAGCTGCAGAACATCCAGCATCACAAAACCCCCATGGCACAGCCCTCAGTGAGAACACGGAACAAGCACATATCCTCAAGGTTATCCTGGGAAGTTTTCAGGGGTCACACAGTTGCAGTTAAGTTACACAATTCCTTTGCTAATTCACACTGCACAGAACTGACAACAAGCACTTTTGGCTGTGGTGTGCTTTGGCAAACCCTGAATTTGGAGGGGAATTACGAGCAATTAACTGCACAGTTAAATCCTCTTTAGGAATTTAAGCAAAGTCCTCTTGAATTTTGCAGTTGGTGTGGAACAAGCACTCTTTGCACACACTGCTCTGGGCTCTGAGCAGCAGCCAAGTCACTGTGAGTGCAGATCAGCTAGAGCTTGTGAGGAGCCAAACCCACACGTTTGGACAGAGCTTAACTGGCCACAGCACTCAGCCACTTGGCTTCTGTACCCACAGACTGCATAGAATAACTGATGCAAAAACCTGCAGGGAGGAAGCTAAAACGTCTGGATTTACTTTATTTTCCAATTATTTCTTCTGTTGGTACAAGTCTACCTGGCATTAACTCCTTGGTGTTTGGAGGTCATGACTGCCAATGGATGAACCAGGAACCACTGGCTTGAAGGAAGAACCCCCCCAATCAAAAATAGGCAAGCAGGTCAAGAAGTGAGTGAATAAGGCGGTAGGTATTAACTGGGAGTCTCCAGGGCCTTTAAAAAAAATTCAAATGCCTTCCATTATAAAAAACACATACATACCATTGGCTTCACTTTATCTACAGTAAATTCACAAAAACATTTAAAACAGCAATCTAGTTCACCCACTACAAAACTCAGAAGTGACATCTCAGGTTAAAAGCAAAGCTATAAATGTAGTTCCATAAAAAAGGCAAACATATTTCTTTACATACAGACAAATGTTACATGATTGGCTGCTATAATGTGTATATTCTGTTATGTACAAAAAAAAGTACAGGATTAGCAGACTGAGCACAAGCAAAAACCCTTCAAGGACAATCTAACCAAACCACCAAAAACAAAAAGACTGGCTCTTAGTTTGTCGGTCACCATGATTATGTGTGCTGGCCCCTTTTAAAAAGTCAGTGATTTCTTCCCCCCTCCCCTATTTCTTCACTTGATTTTTTTTTTCTAGTTTACAGAAAGCCTTTTTGTGTAATAATCAGTGAATAGAAAAACTTCACCTGCAAATACAAGGTAGAAATGTTATTTCACAGCTATAGGCTGCAGCATTGATCTCTCCAGATCTCAAATGGAGAATGTACATGTTTGGCTCCCAGTTAATTCCAGATTCTGAGAAAACTGTCCCAAGACCCTGTAGCTACAGCCATGCCGTCATCAGTAACACCTAAACAGCTGACACGGTTGTCATGGCCAGCCAGGACACCTGGAAAAGAA